ATAAATATTTTTTCAACGATTTGCAATTTAATGATGTGAACATTCATATTTTAAAATTCACATTTGTAGGAATGTAAATTGACCCGTGGGTGGTCCGAAACCCGCCCGCGAGCCAGGGCGGGCCCGGCCCGTTGACAATGTAAATATTCACATTGACATGTTAAAATTCACATTAATAGGAGTGTAAAATTGGCCCCTGTCCCGTGGCAGCGCGAAAATCGCCCGCGGCCCATGGGCAGCCCGGGGCGGGCCCAGTCCGGCCCGTTGACAATGTGAATATTCACATTGACATGTTAACATTCACATTGATAAGAGTATAAAATTGGGTCGCGGCCCATGGGCGGCCAAAAACCCGCCCGCAGCCCGGGGCGGTCCCGGCCCGGCCCATTGACAATGTGAATATTCACATTGACATGTTAACATTCACATTGATAGGAGTGTAAAATTAGTCCGCGCCTTGTAGCTGCCCGAAACCCGCCCACGGCCCGTGGGTGGGCCCGACCCAGCCTGTTGACAATGTGAATGTTCACATTGACATGTTAACATTCACATTGATAAAAGTATAAAACTAGACAGCAGCCCAGGGCGGGCCCGACTCGGCCCGGCCCGGCCCGTTAACAATGTGAATATTCACATTGACATGTTAACATTCACATTAATAGGAGTGTAAAATTGGCCCCCGTCCCGTGGCAGAGCGAAACCCGCCAGCGGCCCATGAGCGGCCCAGGGCGGGCCCGGTCCGGCCCGTTGACAATGTGAATATTCACATTGATAAGATTATAAAATTAGCCCGCGGCCCATGGACGGACAAAAGCCGGCCCGCGGCCCGGGACGGGCCCGGCCCGGCCCGGCCCATTGACAATGTGAATATTCACATTGACATGTTAACATTCACATTGATAAGAGTGTAAAATTGGTCCGCAGCCCGTGGACGGCCCGAAGCCCGACCGCAGCCCGAGGCGGGCTTGGCCCGACCCGTGACAATGTGAATATTCACATTGATATGTTAACATGCACATTGATAGGAGTGTAAAATTAGCCCGCGCCCCGTGGCTGCCCGAAACCCGTCCACAGCCCGTGGGCGGCCCGTGGCGGGCTTGGCCCGGCCTGTTGACAATGTGAATATTCATATTGACATGTTAACATTCATATTGATAAGAGTGTACAATTGGCTCATGACCCGTGGGCAGCCCGAAGCCCGACCTCGGGCCAGGGCGGGCCCGGCCCGTTGGCAATGTGAATATTCACATTGACATGTTAACATTCACATTAATAGGAGTGTAAAATTGGCCCGCAGACCGTGGGCGGCCCGAAGCCTGATCGCCGCCCGAGGCGAGCTTAGCCCGACCCGTGACAATGTAAATATTCACATTGACATGTTAACATTAACATTGATAGGAGTGTAACTTGTCCGCTGCCCGAAGCTCACCCGCGGCCCGGGGTAGGCCCGGACCCAAACCCGGGCCACCCCGGGCTGCCCACGGACTTCGGGCCGCCCATAGGAGGCGAGTCAATTTTACACTCTTATCAATGTGAATGTTTACATGTCAATGTGAATATTCACATTGTCAACAGGCCGGACTGGGCCCGCCTCGGGCCGCCCATTGGCCGTAGGCGTGTTTTAGGCAGCCACGGGACACGGGCTAATGTTACACTCTTATCAATGTGAATGTTAACATGTCAATGTGAATATTCACGTTGTCAACGGGCCGGGCCCCCGTCGGCCCGGGGCCGTGCTTCGGGCTGCCCACGGGTCACGGGCTAATTTTATACTCTTATCAATGTTAATGTTAATATGTCAATGTAAATATTCACATTGTCAACGAGTCGGGCCGGGCTTGCCCTGGGCAGTAGGCGGGCTTCGGGCCGCCCACGGGCCACGGGCCAATTTTACACTCCTATCAATGTGAATGTTAATATGTCAATGTAAATATTCACATTGTCAACGGTCCGAACCGGGCTCGCCCCGGGCCGCCCATGGGACGCGAGTCAAGTTTACACTCTTATCAATGTGGATGTTAATATGTCAATGTGAATATTCACATTGTCAATAGGCCGGGCCGGGCCCGTCCCGGGCCGCCCACAGGCCGTGGGCTAGTTTCGGGCAGTCACGGGGCACGGGCTAATTTTATACTCTTATCAATGTGAATGTTAACATGTCAATGTGAATATTTGCATTATCAACGGGTCGGGCCGTGCCCGCCCAAGGCAGCCCACGAGCCGCAGGCGGGTTTTGGGCCGGCCACAGGCCGCGGGCTAATTTTACACTCCTATCAATGTGAATGTTAACATGTCAAATTATTTATATATTAAATAATATAAAAATATGTATAAAAAAATAAGAAAAATATGCTATTTATATATTTAAAAAATATAAATGTAAATAATAGTTAACTATAGATAGTACATTTATATAATAGTGGTAGTAGATATTATTATTTTAATAAAATATGGAATTTTTTTTAGTTTGTTTATATATATTGTATATATAATTGTATAATCAAAATTTTAATTGTAACTTTATTCTCACATGTAAGGTGAACGGGCCGACCCGGGCCGGCCCTGGGCGACGGGCTGGTTTTGGGCCGCCCACGAGCCGCAGGCCAATTTTACACTCCTATCAATGTGAATGTTAACTTGTCAATGTGAATATTCATATTATCAACGGGCCGAGTCGGACCTATTTTTTTGGCTTATGGGCCTGCCCGGCGCGACTCGAATTTTTCCGAGCACCCACGAGGATCGACATGAGCCGGGCCCCTACACATTGACGATATAAACATTTATATTGACGGTGTGAACAGCTTGACTCGATTCATTTGCCGCCCTAATTGTTCCATCCTAAATTTATAAAGCCTATGTTTATGGGGAGAAGGGTACAGTTGTGCCTTAAGCAGAGTCCGGATCCTCTCCAGCTTCTTTCTCCAGCCGTTTCTCCGGGCAACGGCTCAAATGGAGCCACATCACCTCTAAACAAATATACGGCTCAGATTTATTGTTTAAACTAAAAATAAATAAATAAAAAAAAGTACACACCTACACCCACTGACACACTCTCTCTCTCTCCGTTGAACGTTCTTTTCTCACAGCCACACGTACTCACAGCACATATTCTCTCTCTCTCTACATCACATTTCTAAAAAAAAAATTAAAAATTAAAAATACACTCCCTCCCTATCACATTTCTAATAAAAAATAACAAAATTATTTTAATCTTTTTCATTTTATTTTCATAATATATATAAAATTTTAATTTCATAAAATAAATATCATTAAAAATATATCTTTAAAATGAGATTAATATTAAATACATTTAATAAAAATTTAAAATAAATAAAAAGTAATTACTATGCTTAGTTATGTTTTCAAATTATTATTTTTTAAATATAAAAATTAATTTGATGAAATAAATATACAAAAATCATACATTTTTTAAATTATATGAAAATAATGACTTCTGTTCATCAATGTAAATTTTTTATTTTCTTTAAAACACAAATTCAATCTATGCATAGGTGTAAAACAAATATAATTTTTTTTTATATCCTTTAAAAAAATTATAAACTTGTTTGGTTAATAAAATTAAATTAAAAGTCATTATTTTCATATGATTTTTTTGGAATGAAGATTGTTTTTGAAAATTTCAAAAATATATGATTTTTGTGTGTTTATTTTATCAAATTAATTTTTATATTTAAAAAATAATAATTTGAAAACATAACTAAACATCTTAATTACTTTTTATTTATTTTAAATTTTTATTAAATATATTTAATTTCAGTCTCATTTTAAAGGTATATTTTCAATGATATTAATGTTATAAAATTAAAATTTTATAGTATATGAAAATAAAATGAAAAAGACAAATAATTTTTTTTTTTATTAGAAGAGAGAGAGAGGTGGGATGTGTGACGCATGACGTGTGTGCGGGCAGTGAGGGAGAGAGAAGGGTCAGAGAAAAAGGAAATGATTCAGTGTGGATATGTTTTGAAATTTTTTTTGTTTAACGAAACAAATCTGAACCATATATTTTTTGCAAGGTGACGTGGCTCTATCTAAGCCGTCACCCGGAGGAACAGTCGGAGAGAGTGGCTAGAGAGGATCCAGACTCCGTTGTCTTATCCGATACCCCTCTCTCTCTCTCTCTCAACTATTCTATGAGGAAGCAAAGCTGCTACATCTACTGAAAAAAGGTAGCTCGAGTTACCTAAATAAGAAAAAGGGATTTGTGTTGTGTTAGAACCAGTTGCCCCTTTTTGTGTGTGTGCCTCACGCGCTAGTAAAATCAATAATCAAAACACGCTGGCCGACTTTGCTACCTCTCTCTGGACCTTGCTTTTGGCTCTCTCCATTTTCACACCGACGACCACCATCCACCACTGATGACGGTGGTGGACAATTGACGACCACCACCACTCTCTCTCTCTCTCTCTCCATTCGCAGACCTAACTGTTGAATCTGCCATTGCCAATTGTACAAGAATTTTCACTTTTGGCGAATAAATTTTTAGTCGCCAAAAGACATATTTTAGTCGCCTATACTCTTTACCGACTAAATTTTTTGGTCGGGAAATTAGTAGCCAATGAATCATATGCAATGATAACTAGAGAAAAAAGAAAATTACTAAAACTTACTTTCAGATCACTCAAGAAAGAGTTACTAGATAAGGGTATAGAACCAATATTTTATATGACAATGGAGCAATAAAACCAAAATGCAAGAGAAACCCTGAAATAAAAGAAATGTGATCAGCTCAGCACTAAAGAGTCAAAGATCTTAAATTCAACATATCAGTTTAGCAAGAACAAAGATGAATTTTGGGCAATGATTAAATCGGATTTAAAAGAATATTGCATAGGCCAAGGAAAACAAAATAAGTCAATTTTCTATTTTAAGTATGAGATATAAACTTAATACACAACTGACACTGAAGGATGTCCAAGTTGGGCCCACCCTACTGAGATTTCATTAATTTATCAGTTTTTTTTTTTTTTTGGCTCTAAAACAGATTCAACAAGATTCCAGATTGGCTTATGTGCTTCTAGTTTGAAGTCTCAAGTATGGGGCCTAGTTGTATGCTTTTTTAATTTAGGGGATCAAGGTGATACTTGACAATAGTTCATTGGATTTTTGTGTAATTAATTCATTGTGTAAACATTGGAAACAAGAACAGATTAAGAATACAACTGATAGGCCTTAAAATCACTTAATTTACCTAAAAAAATGTTGAGGGAATTGAAATTAAATAGCATTGCCAAGTTGTAGACCATTGGAAGTGATATAGACTGGTACAAAATTGTTACGGAATAATATTTGACCTTTATAAAGTATTTGTGGTGATTATTTATTATTAATTTTTCAACAAATAATTATGTTATGTCGACCAAATTGTGAATCATAAGCTTTGTTGGCGATGATCGTTTGTTTCCTTATGGCTTGAAATGATTCAATTATTTTATTACATGTAGGATAAAACGAACTATGACTAAGAAAAGAGATCGATTTTGGGAGTACGTGGAGGATTTAAAAGGTCGTTTTAAGTGTAACTTTTGTCAAAAAGAATTTGCTGGAGGGATATCAAGAATCAAATCACATTTGTCTGGTAAAGAAGGTTGTGACATTGAAATTTGTTTAAAAGTGCTTGATAATGTTCAAGTCGAGGCTTGTCAAGCAATTGGCTCTCCTTGCAAGAAAGGTAAGAACATTGCAGTTTCAATTAGTGGTGTTGGGGGTGGAATTAATTCAACATCGACAACATCCATGAATGACAACGATGCGGTCGACAAAAAGTTCATTAAATTCATTCTTTTAAATAACATTTCTGTGGATGTTATTTGATCACAAGCTTTCATCGACTTCGTGAAAGGGGTTAGTCAATTTGGCCCCGATTTTGAACTGCCAAACTTAGTTCATCAAGCCAAGTTAGTCTTGGATTATGATAGGGCAATTTTGTGGTATGTTCGCAATGCTAAGGAATCTTGGGTTGTAACAGGTTGTACATTGATGGTTGATATAGAGAATGGCGATGAACATTCATATGTTAATGTTTTTTCATATTGTCCAAAAGGTGTAGTGTTTTTAAAGTCATCGGTAACCTCAAGGGATGGGATGACCTGGATTTATCTTAAAGACATTATGTCTTCTACAATTGATGAAATTGGGGTCAACAAGGTTCTACAACTTATCGTTGACAACGATGAAGGTTTTGAGTTAACCGCATACATGCTTTTAGAGTATTCTCAGGTGTACATAACTAGATGTGCAATTCATGGCATTCAATCACTTTTAATGGATTTATTTTCAAAAGTTGATTGGTTTCGAAGGATTACCATGGCTGGAAAAATGATTCTCTCTTATATACATAAGCGCGGTATCAATCTGTCTTTTCAAATACAAAAACACACAAGATACAAGAAATTTGAACATCCTTGTCTAGCTAGATTTGCCTCTAACTTCTTGTTGCTCCACTCAATTTTAGAATTTGAAACTGAATTGAAGGACTTACATTACTAGATTCATCTTTAGATTGCAAAAGCTTGGATTTTAATATGCAAGAGTTGGCGAAGTGGGTTGCCAATGTCATTGAGACCACACCATTCTGGACATTAGTGAAAGAGGTATTACATATTGTCGATATCCTGTTTCAAGTTCTCCAATTAGTTAGTGGTGATGCTCCTACTTCAGGCTACTTATATGAAGCAATGAAAAAGGCAAGCACTGAAATTAGGCAATGTTGTAATGAAGATCAAGCCAAATACAAGCTAATTCTAGAATTGTTTGAAGAAAGAAAAATGAATGATAGAATTCATCCAATACATGCAGCTGCAGCCTTTTTAAACCCTGACAACATGTGTAATGAGAACTTTGTGGAGGATCTTGAAATGAAAGAAGGCATAAGCTTTATTGAGGATAACTTGGTCGCTGCAAGTGAAAGACAAGCTTTTGCAGAACAGGTACAATTGTATCACCCGAAAGCACCAAATGTTTTCACAACTACAGCATTAAAGATGTCAAAAACATCACATCCGCGTAAGTTTCATTACTTTTTATTTAAATTATCTACATTCTTGTATAGATAAATTTTAATATTTACCGTTACATTGTTTACTATGAGTAGGTTTATGGTGGCATTATTGTGGTGAGCATCTACCAGTATTGAAAAAATATGCTGTACGAATTTTGAGCCAACCTTGTAGCTCGTCATGCAAGATAAAAAAAGTTGATGCCCAAGACAGATGATGACTATACACGGATGAATATATTGATGATGGAAAAATTTAGTGGGACAAAAGCCCAAGACTTGGAGGCTATTGACCTTGGCAAACTCATTGGGCTTCCTGAATATGTCGATCATCAAGATTTGGATTATTGTCCAAACTTTGAATCAATTTCTGAGATAGCGGAGAATGACATGATTGATGATCCACTCCGTTTATGGCTACAGAATGAGGTTGATTTCATAAATTGGAACATAACTCCAGAACATGTATTTTTAGTGTTTGAAGTAATTTAGACAGAAGGGTTATTCTTGGCTTCTTCTTCTTTATTTTTTAATTATTTATTTGGTAGATGAACATGGATGATCCTTGCTAATTTGAAATGTTTCTTGGAAGTAGATTAATTTTTTGGAGATCTTATTATCTTGTGATATTAAGAAGTTGGAATTTGATTTACACTTAACAATTACCATAGATTTATTTATCCTGTTTTTAGCCCTCGTATGAAATAAGGAAGTTTGAAATCTTTTGAATAGACTTTATTTCTATATTGACCTCAATGAAAATCATTCAAAGACAAAGCATGTGATTGCCTGTACTTTTTTTTCTTTTTTGTCTATATATATTTTGATCAGCACTTTATTTTGTTTATATAAATATATAGACAAAATAAGTGATTGAATATTTTATTACCAACTTGAAAAGAAAAGGAGAGTTTTGACAACTTGGATGACTTAAAATGTCTCCAACGAACAGAGCGAAAGGAGGAAAAAATCCCAGAAAGAAAGAAGAGCTTTGGACTTGGTGGTGGTATCTTTTTCTATTTTTGTCTCTCTACAATCAGGTTAGTAATCTTTTGTGATAGTTCAAAATATGATATTGTAGTTTTGCTGTGTCCTATAATGATATACTCCATTTGTTAGCAGAAAACCCTTTTTTTATGTTTTGTTGCGACCTTAAAAATAATGTAATATTGGTTCGCGAGTGTTGGTGGTTGCAAGGTGGCGGCAACATGGTGGTGGTATTGTGTTGGCAGAGGCTTTTACAAGACTCTAATTTGTAACATATTATTTTCTTTTTCTTTTTTTTTAAAAAAAAAGAAAAATAAAAAGGAAAAAACATTTTCGATCAAAATCAACTCTCTTTATTTTTATTTTTTTATCACTGAATGTTTTCATTAACTTTTATTTCTAACATATCAGACACTAAAAAAGAAAGAAAAAGAAAAGCTTCTATAGAATAAACCGAGTGCTAAATTCTCTCGTCTCTGTATTACTCCTTGGGTGTGAGTAATGGAACTTGGTCTCTTTTCCAATGATTGAGGTCCCTTTTTAAAGCTTACCCCTTTCAAGCTTATTTTTGCACACTTGTTTGGCCACCTTTGCATGCTGTTTTTGGCCTACTTTTCAACTACAAAAACCTCTGCTTTTAAGGCTTAAAAATGGTGGTTTAAGGCATTCTTGGAGTTAGGGGTGGTCCACCCTCCTTTGTAGTTTGTTTGCTAAGAATTGTGCCATCTTTTAAAGCTTTTCAAACAACTCTTTTTTGGCCCTTTAACCACTGAATTCCAGGGGAATTTCAGTGGTAAAACATTGGTTTTGAGGTCCCAAATAGGAGGGGGTGGCCTCCCCTCCTTGTGTCTTCTTTGCAAGTATTGATGGCCCAACATGTGAGCATGTTTTTCTACCATCTCATGGCTTGATCTCAGCATATTTTTGTGACTTTTTTGATCTTCTTGAGCTTTTTTTTTGGTTGGTTAAGTCACTTGTTGCTTGCTTCTTACACTTGTAGTGTAATCATGCTTACTAGCTTAACATGCTTAATGAGTTAGCCTATCATTTTAGCTTGTGTAAGCTCCATCTCAGCATGCTTTTGCTCATGTTTTGTCATGCTTTAACTCTGTTTTGAGTGGTCTTGGTTATATATGCTTTGCTTTGTATAGCTGTAGTGTAGTTGGCCTTTACTAGCTTTGTGTTTTAAACTCTCTAGCATGCCTTGCTTGTGATGTTTGCATGATATGGCATCATTTAGCATGTGATTTTAAAGCATATACCTCTGTCATACTCTCATATATGTCGCTCTTTAATTTCTTTTGAGAGGTGTGCTTTGTGCCTTGTTTATGAGCCAATACATGAGCATGTCTTTCTTGCTTTTCATGCTACCATTTCAGATTGTTTTGATCACTGTTTTAGCATGTTTGAGGTCTTTCTAGGGCTGGTTTGGCCATTTGAGCATTGTATTACATGCCTCTAGTGTTGTGTCCTTCACTAGTTTCAATGCTTTTGGCCTTTAACATGTCGTGCATGTGTTGTTTGCACAGTATTGTTTTTCATGCCACTTTAGCGCACTGAAATATCTGCCATCTCTCACATTTCTTCACTTTTGATTTGTTTTGAGGGTTGGTTTACCTTGTGCTTGTGTTTAAGCTTGATAGAGTTTATGCTCAAATGGCTTTAACCCTCTTATGAGGATTCCTCCTAGCTAAAGGCATGATCTCTCTCATGCCTTCAACCATTCTTTTGGTTAACCCCTCTCTCATTAGAGGACTTTCACATTGGACAAATCAAGTAAAGAATGGTTTGGTAATGTAAAATGAATAAATAAGAAAGAGGACAAGTAAAACATGTGCAAGATAACCATTTGTGTTGCATTGCATGTGTTTGGATTGGACGTTAATCCAAACACAAGAAATGAGGGACGTTTCATACTTGAAGTGATGAAATGTGTCACATTTCTTGGCCGCCAACACCCTTGATCATGCATGATGGGGTGCAAGCTCTTTGTGTATTGTTTGCGCATTCACTAAGCTTGTACAAGCTTGGTTTTTAGGCCATCATGCATTGAGATGCTTGATTGGTGACTTGAGAGCCGAGTGCCACACTCCTTTGAGCTTGAGACATGATGAGGAGAGTGGTAGTACACACATTTCCTTGCAAATATATTGTCTTGCCTCTGTTGTTCTCTATTGCAGCAAAAATAGCATTTTGGGAAAGGAGGTAGCCGACTGGCCAGTGGCAGTAGCCAACCGGCCACTTGCACTAACCGATCGGCCAGTTGGAGTAGCCGGCAGCCACTTTTGGTGGCCGACCGGCCACCAGTCCATTTTGGTACAAAAATGTTCCTGTTTTGAGGCAAAGGCAGTCTAAAGTCTGCACAATGTTCAGAAAAACAGAGGCGAGTGCAAACAGAGACAACCAACGGTAAGACGATAGATTTCCGGGATGATGCCAACCGAGCATGCATGTCTTCCTCACCCGCAAGGCCATTTCACTGCTTATGATTAGTTTGTGTAATTAATCATTCAATTTGTTTTGTAATATCTTAATTAGCTTAGCGTAGCTAGTTATCCAATTTCAATTTGGTTTGTAATAATTAATTAGCTAAGTTAGTTAATTAGTTGGTTTGTAATAATTAGCTTAGCTTAGCATAGCTTAGCTTAATTATTCGGACCCTCCTTCGAGAGGGCGCGATGTTGTAATAAGTGTGTGTGTGTGTGTGCATGCGTGCGTGCGTGTCTTCCAACCCCACGTCTTTCTCCCTTTTATTTAACCACTTACGATGGTTAATTTTAGGGCACGTTTTGATTAACATACCTTATGCTTTTTATGTTTGCATCATTCAATTTGTCTTGCATGCACTGGGCTCGATGTAACATCCAAACTGCATCGTATTTCAATACCTCTTTGAATACATGTATCAAATTGTTGCATTCATATGCCATCTTAGATTGCCGAGCCTATTTAGTTACATTATTGCATGTGTTGCGTTAGGCATGTTAGCATAGTTAGGAATCATGCATGATTTTCTAACTAGCTTTTTGTTTTGGCTCGGAGTATATTATAAGTTTTACGCTTTAGCATACTTGCATGAGTGTGAGTGTTGCTATGATCGCATGCTTGCCATGAGGCTATTTGCTTAAGTGATTAACTGGATGGATGCCTGTGGGTGGAGGCTTGATTGCCTGAATTGGAACAACTCTATGATTGTGAGTTTTAAGCCCACTTTGCGGAGTGGCAAAATCATGTTTTAAAGCCCACTTGAGAGTGGCAAATCTGTGCTTTAGCCTACTTTCGAGTAGCACTTTCAAACCATTTTTGAAAACAAACATGAATTGTTTTGTTCCAATTCTCGCGACTTAGTCTATACTTGTATGTGTGCGTCACATAGTAAAGTCAGATTAATAACCGGAATAAGAACACATGAGGTTTATAAAACAGCATATCATGCTTAGTAGAAGCCGATCCTTTGATCGGGCGAGTGGGGGTACTCATTTCAGGACCTTCCCCTCTCGTACCCAAGTTCTCAAGCCGAGGAAACTTTGATAATGACGGACACATGGCCTTTGGCACGAGTCAGGGTTTCCTAAATTTCCCAAAAATAAAATATTTAGGTGGCGACTCTGTAATCTGGAAAAGCAGCCCAATTTTGACATTATTTGATTTTAAATCGATTTTCTAAAATGATTTGTCAGATTGGACTCTTTGGTGTTTATCAGTCTTACATTGCACTTTGTGAGATTAGATTTAGAACCGTGACAGGAGTCCGAACTGTAGGAGATCAATTCGTGCCTCTCCAAAAGGGGGGCGCGCAAAGAAAGTCGGGTCTACACCTTATAATTTTGGCATTATTACATGGGTCTTCCTTTTAGCAAGTCTAAAGGGACGGAATTAATGTAGTTAGTGTGAATACACAATGATAAATAAGAAAATGACAATATATTTCAATGTAAAAAGATTGATAGCATTATTTTTTTTATTCATGACTGACAAATTATTGATAAAAAGAGAGTTAATGTTTTAAGCCTTAAAAGAAGTCACTTACGATAAAATTCTGAAATTTGTTGTATTTTTTCTAAATCTCAAAGGATGCCAGTGTAATTTATACTTTTAAATAATTAAGAATTGCATGCACCTCCATCAGTTATGTACTTCCCTAGTAACATGAAGATCTATTCTTACTCAATCAAAATCAAAACCCTAACTTCAAAAATCACTAATTTTGAAATTGAAAATTCCAAATAAAAAATTAAAATCCTAATTTATGCATAGCAAACCTCAATGTGGACGATGGAAGAGAGAGGTGCAAGGATGCTTGTTAGCCTTCTGGGCGGTGGGCTTCATTTTCGTGGTGACCTTCGTCTTCTTCGCGTTCTTCACGTCTTTGTCTTCTTCGCATATTGCTCTTCTTCTCTCTTCTTCTTTTTCTACTTAGTGAAACTGTTTAGTGTTGGAATGTTAGGGTGTTGGAGCGCAAAAAAAAAAAAAAAAAAACACACATAAACCTAAAAACTAAAAAGAAGTCACTGAAAGCCCAAAACAAACGAAAATATATATATATATATATATTATGTAAAAACGGTTTTTCTAAAGCCATTTTATAAAATGACTTTTCTAAAGTCGTTTTGAAAATGGTTTTTAAAGAATCGTTTTATGTATTAAAAATATTTTTAGTAAAAA